TCCCCTCAGCTATATTCAGAAACCGAAGGAATATGTGGTGTTTATTTTTAAAACAAATAAAACATGATTCACATTGACATTATACCTTAATTTTTTATTGGGTGAGGTGTAAATTTTTTCATGAAATGTATTATTTGTAGTAGTGTTAATTCTAGTTCCATCTCTTGAGTTCTTTAAACTTTACATTTCTACGTATCACAATTTTCTTCTTGGTAAGATCATAAAGTTTGTATCCCTTACATTTTTAACTGACACTGAGATGGACACATTGATGCCATTTTGATTTAGCTTCTTTCTTTGAACTTCTATCACACGAGAATAGACATCCAAATACTCTAAGATAAAAGACCAAGGGCTTCACATTAGTCCAAACTTCTTCAGGAGTGATATCTTTGATAGACAAGGTTAAACTCATATTCAAAACATATGTGGCCTATAGAACTATTTGAGGCCAAAATACTTGTGTGTTTGTATTGAGTTATTTTATTTTATTATGTTAACATTTTATTTTGATTTAACAAAAATATAACTTACTCTGGTAAAATTTGAAATACGTTAAAAATGTTTATATCTTTAATCAAGTGTATTTTTAAGAGATTTTATCTTTCATTGATTTGGAAAATGATATTTTCACATAGATTTATTTATTTTAATTACTTATATAGCCCATTTTGACAGCTCTAGGCTTGACCCTCAATAATTTTTCTATTATCTTTTTTAAAGTGAAAATTGTTCATTAAAATAAGATTGTTTTCCATCATAAAAAAAGGGAGATTTTTTAGTCAATAATGATTTTGGATCCTCTTTAATTTGGTTTTGGTGATAACACAATGTAAGAGAATAATTTTATTGTCTAACGTGTGAAGATACAAGCTAAACACATTGTGCCATGGTAGAATTAATATGCAACAATCGTGTGATGAAGAAGAAAGAAGCAAAAGCTTGTATACTTTGATGAAAGAGAGAATATGAAATTTTGTTATTGATTAACCTCAACTATGTACATACACCAATCATTGATTATATAGAATGCTATATGTAACTAACTACATAAATAACTCTTACAGTTGGTTATTTTTCTATTTTATGTACATCATCACTATTGCTATCTAAAGTATCACTATTAATAAGCCCCCTTAAGCTGGAATAAATGTCAATCATTCCAAGCTTGGAATAAAGAAAATGAAATGGACCCAAAAACAAGAATTTTGTGAGAGTATCCTCCACTTGATCCTTAGATGAAACAATCATTAGATGAATGATTCCAGCTGATGGTTTTTCTCTAACAACGTGACAGTCACTTTCTATGTGCTTGCTCCTCTCGTGAAACATATGATTTACTGCATTGTGCATTGCAGACTTGTTGTCATAATAGAGAATGATGGGAATTTCATGATGAACCTTAAAATCTGCAAGGAGAGATAAGAGCCAAACACCTTCACAAGTCGTATGAGCAAACACATGATACTCAACTTCAGAGAAAGATCATGAAATGACAACTTACTTTTTACTTTTCCAACTGATGAGGGAACTAACAAGGAAGAAACATATGCCTGATGTAGATCTGCGAGTGTCAAGACAAGAACCCCTCGTCTGAGTTAAAAAAACCTTTCAGGCATAAGGTAGAGGATGATTGGAAGAAGAGTCTTTGACCTAGATTGTTTTTGAGATACTTAAGCATGTGTATGCCTGCAAGCATGTGCTTATCAATGGGAGAATTGAGGAATTGGCTCAGTTTGCTTACAACATAAGTAATCTCAGGTCTGGTATGAGTGAGGGAGAGTAAAAGACCAATAAGTCTGCGACATACTGTGTGCTCAGATAAAATATTACCAAGTTGTGTGTGAAGTTGAAGGTGAAGTTGCATTTGGGTGCTGCAAGATTTAGAACCAAGGACACATGCATCCTTTATCAATTCAAGAGCATATTTCCTCTAAAAGAGAGAAATACCTTGAGTGGTTTGGGCTACTTCAAATCCAATAAAGTATTTTAGAACACCTAAGTCTTTAATGCTAAAATTCACATCTAAGAGGGCTTTGATATGATGAATATCATGAGGATCAATTCCTCCTAGAACAAGATCATCTATGTACACTAAGATGATAGTGAATCCTAATGAGGATTGTTTGGTGAAAAGGGAATAATCATCTTTTGAATGCGTATATCCTGAAGAGAGGAGAGTATTTGTTAGCGTTATGTTCCACTGCCTACTTTCCTATTTTAAATCATAAAGGGACTTTTTAATTTTCACACAAGATTTTGTTGAGGTAATGTAAGGCCTGGATGAGGTTTTATGTAAACTTATTCATTGAGGTCACCATGGAGGAATGTTGTGTTAACATCAAGCTGGAATAAAGGCCAATGATGAACTATTGCAATAGCTAGAAACACTCTAATGGTTGTCATCTTTACTATTAGAATGAAGGTGTCCATGTAATCCAAACCTCAGTTTGTGTAAACCCCTTTACAACCAAACGAGCTTTATATCTCTCAACGGTCCCATATGCATGCAACTTTACTTTGAAAATCTACTTGCATCCAATTGCCTTTTTGTGTGATGGAAAGGGGATAAGACCCCAAGTCCTGGTTTTAACCAGGGAAATTAACTCAGAGTTGATGGATTTCCTCCAATTTTCATCACTAACAACAGTCTCATATGAGGTAGGTTCGTGAAAGGTGGAAAGATTCAAAGTGAAATGTTTTTGTGCAGGAGATAAAAAATCATAAGAAAGAAATGAGCAAATAGGATACTTACAAGGAGAAGATGATGAAGCATCAGCTAAAAGGGATTGAGGGATTGTATTATGAAGTATGTGAAGAAATATAAGAGAAATGGGAGTGGACTTTGAACTTTCTGTCTTTATAAATTTGTCCAACTAAATTTAAATATGAGATACAATGTGATTTATATAGGATCACAATAGAGAATATTAAGAGTTTAAAGCAATAACTATTTCTAGTTCCCTAAAGGAATAAACTTCCCACTGCCCAAGGGAATCTATCTTTTGCATTACCCAAGACTGATTTGAATTTAACCAACAAAACTCCCCCATAAATTCAAATATTCCTTTGATCCATCATGCCTAGCATTTTCTTGCCTCTGTCGAATAGCTCCTTCGATAATGGTTTTGTAAGAATGTCTGCTGCATGATCCTTGCTTGCAACATGCTTCAGTTTGATGCTTCCATCTTTCACATGTTCTTGAATGAAGTGGAATCAAACATCAATGTGCTTGCTTCTTTTGTGGTTGACTGAATTCTTAACCAGTTCGATTGCAGATTTGTTGTCAACTTGAATTATTGTTGCATCTTCCTGTTTCAATTCCATCTTGCTCATCAATATTCTCATCCATATTGCATGGCATACACACCAAGACGCTTCCACATACTCTACTTCACGGGTCTAAAGAGTTACTATGGGTTGCTGTGATACCCCAAATTTGTCCTACCCCTTTGCTTTTATCTAACTTACGAATTTGGCACTTTTTAGTCCATCTGCATACCCTCTGTTAGGTCATTTTTCATGTCATGCATCATTGATCAATAACTTGGCATGGGATTGAGGATATTGAGGAATTATGGTTTCTTTGTGCTTTTAGGTTCTCATCTTTATGCAAGCTTGGATCTACATGGTTCTTTATCAATCAAGGGTTTGAGGGATTAGAGTTTATGTTCGTGGTCGTTGAGAATTTCCTCTTTCATTGAGATACTTATTTTCATCAAAAGATAAAGCCATCTTTCCAAGTTACTCCAGTGAACAAAAAAATTAGAGTTGCGAGTTGTTAGGGTTTACATTCCATCATGGTTAAGTTTTCTAAATTGAATTGAAGATTCATTGTGCTCCAGGCATCATTCTTTCTAATACTGGTTGCTTGGCGAACAAGTTTGGTATGAATTAGAAGATAGAAATGAGCTAAGGATTCATTGAGGATGCAAGTGGGTTTGGTGTAAGAAATAGACTCCAAAGGTGTTATGTCATTACTTGGATTTCAAGTCATTATGCAAAGGAGGGAATAAGACTGAATCAAGATGCTATGGATGAAGACTTTACTTACAAGAAAATCATACTTTTGAATTAGGGTTTTATTATTGGTGGTATAAGGTAGTGGTGGGCCTAATACACCATGTTACTCGGTACCGGTGTTTCCCCATTGATTATGAAGGTCTCTTACTTCAAGTTCAAACATGGCTACTTATGTTGCTATGCATCACAAAGGGAGCATGCTGAAACAATCTTTAACGAAGTCTTCTGGAAGACTCTTTCATTCTTACCATAAAATGTTTGGCATTACACGAATAATGGAATCATATTATGCTTGGAATTTACGCCATTAAAGGAGTATTCAAAGTTAATTTCCATTGAAAATATAAAAGACAATACTTTGAGCACTTGAGAAAATTGATATTGAATTCAAGATATTCAATACTCCTAATTTCATCACACTATCAAACTGTCAGCGGAGTTCAATTTGAAATAAAAGAAAGAAATAGATGAAGCTTCTCCATTAGAGTCCAAATTCCACATGAGAATTACTTAAAAAGAAGTATACAATTTGAAAGAGGGTTTTAAGAGGAAAAGATTACAAAATATTATCCTACAAAATCTAAACATTATGTATAGCTTCATGTTCCTTCCATGATAAACTCCATAGTTTTCATGCCCCTGGCTTTAACCCTCTTGATTAAATCTTCATCCTTCACGACCAAAGATCGAAGCGTATTGCATCCTTGTCTCATCAAAATGCTCAGCTTTGAATTGTCCATGCTTTTAAATTGCTCCAAATCTGCCTACTGTACAAAAAAACAAAGAAAACAAATGCCAATCTGATGAGTTGTTATGGGCTATTCCTTGGCTATGCAAGGCCAGGAGAGAAAGCAGGTACCTACAATACATCACAAACAACCAAAGTGGGAGTTCAGATATTACTAACACTGAAGCTATATGACGGAAGGAAGGATTTGGCCAAAATCTGAAGTGATAGTGAATCGTTTACATGCGCATTAATGCCGAGAGGTAGCTCTCAACGAGGCTCTGTCATCTGCATAGTTCAAAACTGCATAATCAGCGCCATCTGCAACATCCAGCCGTGCACACGTCAGTTCTGTCGCAAGTCCAATGCATTGAGCTCAAATAATTCTAAGGCAGTTGAGAATAACCTCAGGCAATGCAGCAGATGCATGGATAGTCCCACCGGTCTAGTTAATTATTCTAAGTGTCGAACATTAACATGGTCTGCAAGATAGTATTTCACAGTTTATTGATGTTGTTCATTCGAAATGAGCATCCCTGCAAACTAACCATAACAACAAATCAGGAGCAATTTGAAAAAGAATTTTTCATTTCTTAAAGTTTGCATCAACCAACTCCCTAGAATTCTAACTATCAAATAACAAATCGTTAAAACAGAAAAATCATCAAATCAGAATGGGAACTAATTGGCGGAAACAGAAAAAAAACAGGACTCTTCCATCCCTCACATACCTATAACAGCTTTTAAAACAACCTCTCGATCATTTGCCCCAAACAAGAATCCCTAATTGTCCTGTAACTGTTTCATAACCTCTCAACTGCCAAAACCAGATTTCTAATAGAATTTCTAACCAATTTGTAACTGAATTATTATACTCCTTTAAGTCCAGCTAATTCCCATAACCACCTCTAACAGAATTCCATAGAATTCCATAACCTTATCTAACAGACTGAAAAAAGTCTAAAAAAATAACAACCTCTAACCCTCTAACCATTTTTTTTCAAAATTCCAGCTTTAACCAAACCTGTTACCAACAAAAAAAATCATTTTCCTGTAACTAACTATCTTCAATTAAATTCCTAAAGCTAACATACTTTAAATCTCCTAACTAACTTCTAAACCACCCTGACTGTCAACAGAAAACCAGAAAAACTTACTCTTAAACAAGTTCCTAACAATTCTTTAGAGTTTATACTAACTATCATGTAAATAATCCCTTAACCACGTTAGTTCTAACATGCTAACTTCTCACAAACCTATAACTAACTTCAATTTCCCAACTATTACTAACAGCTCTAACAGTTATAACAGGAATTCAACAAAACAACTCTTATAGAAATTTCCAACAAAATTCCCTCCAATTTCAATTCCTAACTAACTAACGCTTCAATCTCTAACAAATTTATCATGTAAGTAACTTCTAACCGCCTAATCAATCTCTAACCAACTTCTCAAACTCAACAAACTATATAATCAAGTCTTCATTCAGAAATCAGGGGATTCATTTTTTTCACGATTCACGGAAAAATCAGAAAGACTCACCTCTAAGATTCTCTCTTCCACGCTTGGATACGCTCGAATCTTCATCAATTGTCGTAAGAGATTCAACTGCATCACCATTATCCTCCATCATAATCTTCACCATCTTCTTCCCATCAACTTTCCAATCATCTATTCTCTCTGAAAATCCTCGGCATAACTCCTCGGGTTCTGCTTCCAAGAACAACGTAACTTCGCAACTTCAACAATCTTCACGCATCTCCTCTTCATCAGCAACAACTACAACAACTTCTTCCATCATATTATGCAATCGATCTGCAACGGTCATCCGCAAACAACAACGAATCAACTTCATCATCTTTATCGAATCGTTATACAACTTCAGCAGACTGTCACAACAAACAACAATATCATCATCGTCTTTGCAACAGAAACCAACGCATAAGAGAATAGAAGAAGAGGAGATAAGGAATAGTGGAAATTGAAGGAAAGGAAGTACCTGGATCGTCACCATCAGAGGTAGATTCAGACTTTTACGTTATCTTTTAAATGGAACCGTTAGCTTGATCGATTTAGGGTTCACGAATCCCTTTTCTTTGATCTCACTAATTGGTGGAGATTGGAAGAATTCATGGTGTGATTCGTGATCAGCGTTCAAAGGAGAGAAATCTTTATGTTGTTGATTTGTTATTTCGTTGAGGTTGAGGCGAGCTACCATGAAAGAAGGTTGAGTTGGCCACCGCGCTTCGTGAGAAAGATTAAGAGGCACCCTGCCTTAACCCTGCTGCATTTGGGGCATTCTTTTTTTGTCTTTTTTCATTTATTTTTAGTTTTATTTTCAATAATTATTTATAATAATACAAATAATGTTGAAGGTTAATGTGGGATGATGGTGTGGAGTGGATCACCCTTATCCTTGCCCAAAGGGAAATTTTTGTGGCTTTTGGATGCTGATACAAAAATTTGTTCATAGACTCATTACTGAGCCTTAGTGCCAGCTTACTTTACCATAAGTCCTGACCCAGTTATTGCACCCCCCGGATTCTCTCATTTTCTTTATAATTATTTTTTTTCTTTCATGACCTTTTTAGTAACAAAAGACACATAATAAAAATGGAAAAAAAATATAAGAAGGATTTTTAAAAATTAAATAGGAATATATTTCTTCTTTTGCTAACCTTTTAGTTAATTTTAAATCATTAGTTTTATTCGTGTTATATCATGTATTTTGTTTGCGATTTTCGAGTATGGATTGTATGCAATACTTTAACACTTGCTACCAATTTTACTTGTTTGTGTAGTCTTTCATGATCCCTTAGGATATTTTTGTTCAAATTTAATCTTCGATTTAATTGAACCAAAATTGGACATTAGGGTTGCAAATCCAAGCATGCAAACATTAGGTAGAATTCCCTCAAAATTCTAACTTTAGGTCTAACAATGCATGATAAAATTAGGTTTAGAAATAGGCTAGTCTCCCTTTGACTTTTCAATCCCATTTTTGCATTTACACTAAAAACTAAAACTTCTTTTTCTTTCAAACTTCAAAAAACTTTAAAACTACTGATGAGAATCATGCCTTTGCTTAGTATGGGAAATGATAAGCGGGTCTCTTCTCGATCTTATTGTTCTTCATATCAAGTCTAGGTGTGGTTCAATTCTAAAAGACTCCTTTCATGGCTAAGTAGAAAAGTGGCTAATATCTCTCTCTTGAGGTCAACTAGTCATTATCTGCAACAAAAATACAAACCAATTCAAATCTTTTGTGCGCTCAAGCACCTTTCTCTAAAACCCTTTTCAGGTAAGGACATGATTAATTTACTTATGTGCCAACGCATAAGTCTCCAAAGGTCGAGCTGCGACAGAAGGCGGAATTAACTTCGTCCACAAAAAACACAAACAAACAAAAACATGTAAGCCGAACTACGGTAGCTCTGATTCCTCAAAACGGATACATAGGCATTGAGGTAGGGCCCAAGCGAGCATAATTTTATTTTCCCTACATTATTTTCTCTGTTATTTTGCATGCATTCCCTTTAGCAGTAGTAAACAGTAAGCATAGATTAAACACACCCATAATATAGATAACAAGAGTGGATACCGTAAAGTACTACAGGTGTGTGGGGTGCTAATACCTTCCCCTCGCATAACAGACTCCCTTACCCGATCTCTCGGTTGTAAGACCGTGACTTCTCCCTTCTTAGGTTTTCTCGATGTTTACCTTTCCCTTTATGTGGGATAAAAGATGTTCGATGGCGACTTCATTGTTTGATGATCTTCAGCCGATCGTTTCAGTTGGCGGCTTCACTAGGGACAGGTCGACTAAATGTTGGTCCATCCCGGAGTCGCTCCTAGCTCTTGCTTTCTTTTCTTTGGGTGTTTATCTTTACGCTTTCAGTTTATTCACTCATTTTGTATATACTTGAGCATATGTATGCATTGCATTTTACTGTCTTCCATATACTACTGTTGTACTGGATTTGCTTCTTGATTGGGTTGGGATGTTACTATTGAGGTAAAAGGCCCAGTACCCAGGCCAGAGTGCACTAGGACACTAGGAATAGAGTGGGGGCATGACGGCTATAGGACGTGGTCCGACTAGTGCAGTCATGTCATATACCACGCCCGGATGAGGTTCAATTGGAGGTACTTTCATCATGCACGTCTGTGTTGCGATGATTTTACTTTCAAGAGAACTCGTGATTTTCGAGTTACTATTGTCTTACCCTGACCTAGTCTTCACCCGTGAGTAGGGAGGGAATCATTATTACATGTACAAATGGTGACTATGTTCAGATGGTTACTCATGTTCAGATAGTGATTGTACCCAGACGGTGACTATCGGTTCTAATGAATATGTTCTGAATTTCCGTCGGTGACTAGGAGATTCTCAGATTTATTTTGAGCCTCAAATCTGTTCATGATATTATACGGTTTATGTTTCGGACCTATGATCCTGGTACTTACAGACTACGCAAAGACAGTACGGCAGAAATTGATATCATAGAAGTAGTAACCCCATGATCACTTGCATTTACATCATAGCATGTTTATTTCTCAGAAAGAAGTGTCAGAAATATGAAATGTACTAACCTTGCATGTGCATGTCCATTTCGGGGTACCCCTCTGGCATAATTTCCGTCAGTAACATTTAGCAACATTGATGTTCTCAAGAGGACCATTTTAGTCAGTACCAATGTAGAGTTTTTTATCGAAAGGCATAGAGGTATTTTGACCCTACTTCAGTCTTACAACTACGAGTTACACCTTCCAGGACTATCAAATTGTTCCAATTCCGGAAATACGACCCCCTTTGCTGAGCACCCACTTGTTGCTAGTCCGGACGGGCATGATTTTGAAACTATCGCTAAGGCACTTTATTTGGGCCTTGGCAATGTGAGATGGAAATGGGAGAAGAATGGTAACCTACCTCCGAACTGATCATTTTTGTTACCGATAAGTTTGTTAGATAGAGTTGCTCATACTCCCATAACCTTCTCGTATTCAATTCTGTGAGAATTTCTCTTATTTTCGGATGTTTTCTTCATACGGTCGTTCTTATCATGTTGCTCGATTACTGCTAATGGTAATTGAACTGTGGAAAACCGGAATGGACAATCATTTCATACATCATACATATCATGCATTTCATGAATTGCAGGTTTTTTGGCAGGAACTCTTATCTGATGATTTTGCCTTTTATTATCAGAGAGAGAATCTACAAAACGACTTCCCTACATCCTTATTACACTCGAGCCAACAAGTTGAGGATTATGGAACAGATTGAGCAGAACCAGGCCACTCTCCGCAAAGACATGGACACCATGGGTGATCGAATGAATTAGCTCATGGAAACTCTTCACGCCGTCATCCAAGGGCAAGAAGAGCTCAGAATAAGCGTTACTAAACTGGTAGATGGTGCCTCCACATCCGAGAATGGTGGACCCAAGAATGACCATGGGGGGATTCCTAAGGAAAACCCACGACTGATTATGGACGACCACCATGATGTCATCGATCTCGATGACTCTCCAAAGGATTCTACGATTGATTTTTCTGAAACTGCTAAGATGTACAAGGCTCTGGAAGAGCGCTTAAAGGCTATGGAGACTTCTAAGAAACCAGGATTCAGTGCCGCTGCTATGTGCTTGGTTCCAGGGGTTGTGATTCTGCCAAAGTTTAAGGTACCTGATTTCGATAAGTATAAGGGGGTTACATGCCCAGAGACTCATCTCCGATCTTACTGCAGAAAGATGGCTGCTTATGCTAGCAATGATCCATTGCTTATGCATTTATTTCAGGACAGTATTGCTGAAGCTCCATTAGAGTGGTACATGCAGTTGGAGCAAACTCATGTTAGTAACTGGAGTGAGCTTGTTGATGTTTTCCTAAAACATTATCACTATAACACCTCCATGGCACCTAGCCATGTGCAGCTGCAGAGTATGTCTCAAAAGACTAGTGAGTCTTTCAAAGAGTATGCCCAGAGATGGCGTAGTTTGGCCGCAAGAGTTAAACCTCCTCTCCTAGACCGGGAACTAGTAGATCTGTTTATGAGTACTCTCCGAGGCTCGTATCTAAAACATATGCTCAACAATACTTCAGATTCATTTTCAGATATGGTCATCATCGGGGAGCGGGTTGAAATGTGTATTAAAGTAGGGACTATTTCAGGTGCGTATGGCACAAATGGTAACAACAACTCAGGTGGTGGGAAGAAATTGTACTCTAGCGGTATCGTCAAGAAAAAGGAAGGAGAAGTAAGTAATTCCTCTGATGAAAAGGGGAAAGCTATTATACAAGTTCCATATTACCAAACTCCTGCTACTACTCCACAACAACAGTATGCACCACCGCGAAACTATCAACAGAACCAAATGCCTCAGGGGAAGATGGGTTAACAAAGGCAACAAAGGTATCCTGAGAGGAAGTTGGATCCAATCCCGATGTCATATGCCCAGTTGCTTCCACAATTGCTAGCTGGTCAGTTGGTACAGCTTCGAGTATTGGCTCCCCCACCAGCAGAAGTTCCAAGGGGTTATGATGTCAATGCACGTTATGAATTTCATTCAGGAGCTCCAGGTCATTCAATCGAAAACTGACGAGCTTTAAAGTACAAGGTGGAAGATCTTTTGGAGGAGAAGG